GGGAGGCTGGTGCTCGGTCTGAGGGTGTGAGACTCCCCAGGATGGGCAGGCTCCTGCAGGCTGTTCAGCGAGAGCACCCCAAGGTGCCGCCTTGTCCCTTCTTTGTGGCTCGACAGTGATTTCTTCTCTCCGCTTTCCAGGGCACTTCACCTCAGCAGAGGATCTGAACCTGTTGATCGCCAAAAACACACGACTGGAGATCTACGTGGTGACAGCGGAGGGGCTGCGGCCCGTCAAGGAGGTGGGGATGTACGGCAAGACCGCCGTCATGGAGCTCTTCCGCCCCAAGGTGGGTGCGCTGCGGGGAGGGAGCTGCCCGCCAGCTGGGGAGGGGGGCAGGCGTGGGCACGCCAGGGCTGCCGGCTCTGACACCCTCCTGAAGATACGCCGCCGCTCTGCTTTCGCAGGGGGAGAGCAAGGATTTGTTGTTCATCCTGACAGCCAAGTACAACGCCTGTATCCTCGAGTACAAACAGAACGGGGACAGCATTGATATTATAACCCGTGCCCACGGCAACGTGCAGGTGAGTGAAGCTGCAGCGCGTGGAAGGGACGAATTCCCGTTCTTAGGGATGGTTTTACTTTGCCAATGACGAGGGCGCGCCGAGGTGATGGATTTCTGCCTTGTTTTTAATGATTCTTTGCTTACCGCTGACTCTGGTATGGTTCACCTGCTGCCGCTGGTAGTTCTGGAGGTTTTTGCCTGCAGCGATTGAGTCTCAGGCTCAGGGACTGAGGATGCAGCTACAACCATGTTCTTGCAGTAGTTTGCAGAATAATAAGGTTAATTTGAGATATTCCTACTGTAAAGAGAATCAGTGCTCGAAACTCAACGTAAGGTAGAATTTTCCCTGGGAAATGACTCCTCCAGTATTTTGTGGCCGGTCTCCACACGCTGCGCACCAGAAGCGTGGCTGCTGAAGTTACTCTTACCATCGTGGCCATACAATATTGTTAATAATTGTAGAAGTTCTCCATCGTTCTGGCTGAAGTGGATTAAAAACACGCCTTGTGAGCAGGTCAGAAAGCCACGTGTCTATTTGGCTTAACCTTAGTCATTAGCCAAAGGATTTCCATCAGCTGTCAAGCCAAAATATCTTTATTTGTTTCCAGGTGCCGAGCTTCCGCTGACTTGCTGTCGGTGGAGCTGAGCAGAGGGTTACGGGCAGGAGATGTAGGTGGGCATGTCCTGTCAGGAACGTCTTAAGAGTGTTTGGGGGGAAAAGCACTTAATCTTCCCGTGCCACGGTTCTGCGTCGTGACATATGGAGGTGCCGATATTGGCCCCCATCGAGTAACGCTGAGGGGTCTGTGGAGGCTGATAACGGAGCTGGATTTCTGGAGGGGGGGATTTTTGGTCATGGAGATCAAAGCGCTTCACAGCAGCGGAGAGCAGCGTTTTGCTGTCCTGCACCCCTGCTTTCTATCCCTGACGGAATGTGGCTTCTCTGAGGTCATTCAGCAGAGAGTTGGGATTGGAAAAACCAGGGTTGTTCCTGGAGTTCCTGGTGCCTGGGAGAGGGAGGTTGTGAGCTGTGGGAGCTCTGCCAGGCTCTCTGGTGGAAAGGACTTACTGCTGTAGGCAGGAGATGCCTAAATCGCCTTTGGCTTGCCAGATGGTATTTTAAAACCCGTTGGGAGGTGTGCCAGGAGTCGTTCCTCGGTTGAGGGGTGGTAACTCTCGTACCTGCTCTTCTCAAGTCCCACACGGGGACCTTTTTCTGATGCTAATCGCCTTTTCTCTTTCCCCTCTCCACGGATCTGTCGCTCAGGATCGCATCGGCCGTCCCTCAGAGACCGGCATAATTGGCATCATTGACCCAGAGTGCCGGATGATCGGCCTGCGGCTATACGACGGCCTCTTCAAGGTCATTCCCCTGGACCGGGAGAACAAGGAGTTAAAGGCTTTTAACATCCGCCTGGAAGAGCTCCAAGTCATCGATGTGAAGTTTCTCTACGGCTGTCAAGCTCCAACCATCTGCTTTGTCTACCAGGTACCTTGTTCTCGATCGGTGACTCAGGCGGAGGGTGCTGGAGATTGCTGGTGCACCGGCCAAGGTCTCTAAAGGGTCTTCTGAAGGGTTTGGAGCAGCAGCAGTGTCCTGGAGCCAACGGAAAACGGTGCTTTGAGTAGAGTGAGAGGCAGTTCTGGCTCCAGCAGGCTCATGGTGTAGCCGAGGAAAGTCCATGTTCCTCTGTGCTGCTTTTTTGCGTTTCTGGGAGGGAGGAAGCCACGCTGTCCCACAGGAGAGTTGGGCAGCTGATGCTTCAGATGGGACCGTTGCCTTGCCCAGCCCTCGGGAGGAGACCATGGGTCTTTCCAGCAAGCGCAGAGCAGGCAGATTAGAGCTGAAGTCGGTTGTTTCCTATAGGCACTTGAGCTTTTCCCTTAAAAAAGGCAGTATGTCTTGTTTGGGAAGCCACTCCAGGTGTGTAAAGAGGGGACAACGTCTCCTGTTGCCTGGGTCCTCTGTCCCAGAGGCGGTGTTTGTATAGGTCCTTCTCTAAACGCATATTTTGAACCAAAGAGCCTCTGCTGTGCTGACTGAGCGAGGGATTATCTTTCCTTTGTCAAAGTTGGGGCTAGCCTGGGCTGAGCTGAAAGTTCCTGGGGTGGCAGCACAGGATCTGATGTGAATTTAATTCAGCGTAGTTCTTAGTGGCAAACTCGGTGTGAGAGAAACTAACCATGTGGCAGCAGCGACTTGATTATTCCCTATTCAGAAGTCACTGTGATTTTCAAGAGAGGTGGGTGCTGTTGAACCCCCCTTGACAGTTCCCGAATAAAGATGGAGGGGGACAGAAATCACTTTGTCACTAGGTAACCAGGGGTTGGGAGGGCAGCGTGGGTTCCCCCCGGGTCAGGACAGTGCTCTTCCCCTGCCCTCCGGGTAGCTGGTGCTCTCCCTTGTCACCTGAACAAACGTCGGCGTGCTCTCTGGGAAGCGTCCCCAGCCCTCACGTATCCTGCCCGCCTCGCAGACGCTTGTGTAACAGATTTAAGGGTGTGCACAAAAGAGGAAGAAAACAGAGAGGGGTCTGATGACCTGAAAAAGCAAAGGATTTTCAGCTATTGGTGATGCATAGGAACAAGCACTGTTTTCTTACAAAAAGCACTGCCGTCCTTCTCCTATTTAGGGGAGAAAGGTGTCATGATCCCTGAGCGTACCCGGGAGTTTGATTAGTACCGTTGCTGTTACGTGCTGGGGAAACTGAGGCAGGGAGGGGTGGCGCCTTGGACAAATTCTTAAACTCGGTGTCAGGGTCTGGACAGTTTCCACTTGGTGCTTAAGAGCATCGTAATGGAGGAGTTTGGTTACCCCGTGCAGTCAGCAAGTTAAAAAAAAGTCTTATCTGGAGATCTGGCATCTTTACAGATTAAATCAGAGCAAATCTGTTAGCAGTCCATTCGTTATAAAGAGGTATTGTATGAATAAAGAACAAATTAATAGCTTGTTCCCTGTGTAACACTGTTAATATGAATTTTATCCTTGTAGCAGGAGCGAGATGCAAGTTCTGTCTGACTCATTAGGCCTTACATAAAACTCTGGCTTTGTTTTGGTCCCTGGGTGTCTGACTTGCGTGTGTGTGGAGAGGGGAACGTTTCCAAGCTGCTGCTTTGATTCCTTCTCAATTTATTAATCATTATCACAGGATTTGGACTGAATAGAATAGCAGTGTCTGAGATAATTGTTATGTAGTTCTGAAACCAGAGGAAGATACCACAAAAAGGGGAAGTTCATAAAAATAAAATAAAAAAAGACTCGAGAGTTGCTGCGGTGTGGAGTAAAAAGGTCCAGAAATGTCATTAACGACTCCTCTGCCATTTTAACAGCCCCACTTCAACTTTCTCCTCCCCATGGAGCCGTTTTTCCTCCTGGCTTCCCCTTCTCTGTCAGCCAGCACTTCTCTTTGCTTCCCTCGGTGCTGCACCGCTGGCTCTCGCCAGGACCTCGGGCTCTGGAGTGCGGTCAGTGAGGATGTTTGCCAAGCGGCAGAGGCTGCGCGGGGTGAGCCAGGAGGTGCCCAGCTTTCCTGCGAGCATTTGTTTACAGCACTGACGGCTACAGGGTGGCAAAAAACGCTTTCACTCGGATCTGTAAAGCGGTGAGGCGTAATAAATAAAAAGATGAACAGGTCTTTTTTGAGTCGTGACTAAGGGAACCTGGTTCCCTGTGATTTAGAGCCTTGTCTTAGCTTTTGAGATGTGAAATTGGTCAGTGGGTTACGTTCAAAGCCCTCTCTGTGCTTTGGGTGCTCATACATCTTTTCCCCGTGTGGGTTCCCGAGCGCTTGTTAGCATAGAGACCACCTTTCCCGAAGTGGGGTGCTGATTTGGGGGTCACCCGCTGTGTATTTCGGTGAAGCCTGCGTGGACTCACCACCTCGGAGACCTCTGGTTTGGTTGAAAATACCCACCGGGCTAGGAATTACTGGAATGGCAGAGCCGTCGGGGGATTATTCGGCAAGCAGATTATGTTTCCTCGGGAAACCAGGCTGAAAGGCCTGAGGAGCATCGAGAGGGGAGCTCAGCTGCTCCGGCACCTGCACTGCTACAGCAGAGCTGAATTCCTGAACGCTTTGCTGGAGGCGGAGGCGGCGGCGATATTGCGTAGTGCTGCTCATGCCCAGATTTGTAGAACTATGCGTCAGATGAATACGAGTCCCAGAAAATTACTTGTATAAAAACACTCAAATAGTTTTCAGTCTTTTTTGGCACAGGGATTTATTTAAAGGTTGTTCGACATATGGATAAAGTTACGCTCAGACGCACGTGCGGTTTGGGAGTGACTGAAGAGGACGTGGGCAGGGTGGGAAGCCTCAGAGTCTCCTTGCTTCGCAGGTTGCACGTCAGCTCTGCCTCGGGAGCCTCTGTTGCTGCGCACGTGGGGTTGTCATCATTGTACGTGGTGCGGCTTCTCTTTCAGGACCCTCAGGGTCGTCACGTCAAGACGTACGAGGTGTCCCTGCGTGAGAAGGAGTTTAACAAAGGTCCTTGGAAACAGGAGAACGTAGAGGCTGAAGCCTCCATGGTCATCGCAGGTCAGTCCTTCTTTGTAAAAGATCTTCCCTCCCATTTAAGGCTCTTCACTGAGAGGGTGGTCGGGCACTGGAGCAGGCTCCCCAGGGAAGTGGTCACAGCACCGAGCTTGACTGAGTTCAAGAAGCGTCTGGATAATGCTCTCAGTCTTATGCACTGATTCGGCTGGTCCTGTCTGGAGCCAGGAGCTGGACTCGATGATCCTTATGTGTCCCTTCCAACTCAGGGCTGAATGCCTCAGTCGTGCTGCACAGGTTCTCTAAAAAGACATTTGTCTTCTCCCCTGTGCAGTGCCAGAGCCTTTTGGAGGCGCGATCATCATCGGGCAGGAGTCTATCACCTATCACAACGGAGATAAATACCTAGCTATAGCCCCACCTATCATCAAGGTGAGTGACTACCGAGATCTAGAAACACGTCCCGTGTAATTCCTCCATTCCGAGGCGTCTCTCAGAGTGCTGGTAGGGTGTTGGGCTGCTTGTAGTCAAGGATTTAAACTGCTCTTGTCTCCAGGTGTAGTTTGATACCTCCCAGAGGTTTGGCGAGTGCAGGGTGTTTCACACAATGCCTGGTCTGTGTTTTTGGGGACTGAGGGACGTATGTGATCCTGGTACTGGTGGCAGCGTGTGCTTGCACTGCAGCGTGTGGCTCTGCTCTCCGTGGAGTGCTCGGAAATGGTGCAGTAAAGCTCAAATCTTGTTTGGGCCCCAGAAAAAGGGATTAATTAGCAAGTAGTGCATGGTTTGGGCATGGATCCAGGCCAGAGCCTGGTTTCATTTCAGGCAGCAAAAGATATGAATGAGCCCCTTGGAGACTTGAGTCCGCTGATGTATGATTGGGGCACTTGTTGAAAGGAAAAAAAAAGACTTACAAAGTTTGTGACAGAAGTTGAGCTCGTGGGGTTTGTCAGAGGAACGGGCCAGTTCCCACATTTAAAGGGTGCAGGCAGCAGAAATGGCATGGCTGAGGTGCCACTCGGGGCTGACAGAGGGCTTCAGCTATGATCAAAAGATCCTTTTAAGCTGGAAATAATGACGGGCTGGAAAAGAGCTATAAATCTTGGGTAAAGAAATACTAATCTTGTTGCCTGAATGCTGGACCACTGATCTGAGCCTTGACCTGCAAGCAGAGCGCAGGCACATCTCTCCTCAAGGCCAGCGGGATGTTTGCATACAATGAAGATCTGCAAAATCAGGATTTTTAAACCAAAACCAGGGCAGGCAGCATCCGCCACGGAGAGCAAAACACCTGCAAGAGCTTGGGTCCAGAGATGCAGCAGGCTCTGCAGGTTCCAGATAGCATCCCTGCATCTGCGGAAGGCCCGGTGTTAGGAAGACAGGCTTTCTGATGGCACCTTTCCTGTGCTGTGAACAAGCTAGCGACACGTTTGATTTAGGAAAGCGAGGTGATTCCTAGTGAGCCAAAACGAGACCGTTTGACCACAGATTCTGGTTGTGTTTGCTGATACAGTTTATTGAAGGGCGAATTCAGCCCTTGTCCCTCTAGGCAGGAGGAGTGAGACTCCGCTGTTGTTACAGCTGGTGCGCTGAGGATGTGGTTGTTCCGTTCTGGTGTGTAGAAGGTGGTCCTTGCTAGATGCCCCTTTGGGACCAAAATTCCCTCCTCCTTTGCGTGCAGCAAAGTACGATTGTGTGCCACAACCGCGTGGATCCCAACGGGTCCCGTTACTTGCTGGGGGACATGGAAGGACGACTTTTCATGCTGCTCCTGGAGAAGGAGGAACAGATGGATGGCACTGTCACCTTGAAGGACCTGCGCGTGGAACTGCTCGGCGAGGTAGGACTCGGCCACGTCGTGTGCGCAGTCCCTGTCGCTTCTGGTGGTGGGGCTGGGAGGCTGTGCAGGCTGGAAATGCTGCGCTGAGGGCTGAGTGGCAGGAACCCCCAGCTCTTCTGGAGCCTGGGGTGGGGTGACGTTTCACAGTTGTCACAGCTCTGAGCTGTCCGGTGCTGGGAAATTCCCTGTGTGGGCACTTGGAAGTTTACACCATCTTCCCAGGTTTTTGCCTAGTGCTTGTGTGCTGTTCCTGGGAGTTTGGACACTCTGTGGGTTTTGTAAAAGGATTAAATTCCCCTCTTGTGCCTCGGATCTTCCCGTTGGGATGCAGCACGGATGTGGTGCACGCGGGGTGCGGCAGCGTCCTTTTCACGCCGGTGGCGGTTCATCCGTGTCTTCTCAATTCCCAGACATCCATTGCAGAGTGCTTGACCTACCTGGACAATGGAGTTGTATTTGTCGGTTCTCGGCTTGGGGATTCCCAGCTTGTGAAGGTAGGTGGCAGCCACCTTCTGGCTTAGCTGTGTGTTCAGACAGGGTTTTGTATATCTTTATTTTCATTGTGGCCTTGAGAGGTGTAGATGGATAAATTTTCCTTTCTTCTTATCTACCTTACATCCTTTCCACTTGCTTGGGCTTGTTGAAAGCCTGTAATTCTGTTTATTCGTAGCTCAACGTGGACAGCAACGAGCAGGGCTCCTACGTAGTGGCTATGGAGACCTTCACCAACCTTGGTCCCATCGTTGACATGTGTGTGGTGGACCTGGAAAGACAAGGCCAAGGGCAGGTAGCGTTGATTCCACTTTGCTTTTCTGAGTGCTGGGGATGTCTGGGCCGGCCGGGTGCATGCGTGGGTTGTCTGTGGAAGAAAAAGACTACAAACCGTTTATTGGAGGATCTCGAAGTCTTATCCAGGTGCAGGGATGGTATTGAGGTCTTGCACTGAGGAGTGATATGAGTGGGGAGGCTAATTCTTGAACACCTCATCTTCCCCTGAACTCATCACGACAAGGAGGAGCGGGGAAGCTTCCCAGCAGTGGCTGGTAAAGATCATCTGCTTTTCCTCCAGCTCGTCACATGCTCGGGTGCGTTTAAAGAGGGTTCACTGCGGATCATCCGGAATGGCATTGGAATTCACGAGCACGCCAGCATTGACTTGCCGGGGATTAAAGGTGCGTGAGCTCCACAGCCTGAGAAGACTCGGTGGGGACACGTCATGTGCACAGACTGAGGTTGGGGTGCGGGGCAGGGGGCTTGCCACCCCCTGCAGCTTTCGGAATATTCACCATGAGCAAACGTGGCCTCTCTTTGTTGCAGGCTTGTGGCCCCTGAGGTCGGACTCTCATCGTGAAACGGACAATACGTTGGTGCTGTCCTTTGTCGGCCAGACCAGGTAAGGTGGGGTTAACGCTGAGCCAGGCTCTCACCCACATGTTGGGGCATGAGATAACAGGAGTTCCTGTTCCTGTTCAGGGTTCTTATGTTAAATGGAGAGGAAGTAGAAGAGACGGAGCTCACAGGGTTTGTGGATGATCAGCAGACTTTCTTCTGTGGCAACGTGGCACATCAGCAGTTGATCCAGGTAATGCCAGTTCGAGGGAAAGGCAGATATGTCTCATGGTGACCTTACAGCCCTTACTGATTGTGGGACTAACCTAGATCTGTGCTGCTTATCAGGGGCAGAGTTTACTTCCCTGCACCGATGTCAGAAGGGAGGTGGTGTTCTGGTTCTGAGCAGAGATGTTCTCTCTCCCCAGATCACCTCTGCCTCTGTGAGACTGGTTAGTCAGGAGCCCAAAGCCCTGGTGAGCGAGTGGAAAGAGCCCAATGGAAAGAACATCAGCGTGGCTTCCTGTAACAGTAACCAGGTAGTGGTGGCCGTGGGACGAGCCCTGTATTACCTGGAGATCCGACCCCAGGAGCTCAGGCAGATCAGGTGGGTGTTCATCTCTTGTCCCGGCCCGAGGGCTCTCAGCCTCTGGTGCCCATCTTTGGGCTCAAGACTGACGCCTCTCTCCGGTTTCTCCTTCGTGCCAGCTGCACAGAAATGGAGCATGAAGTTGCTTGCCTGGACATCACTCCTTTGGGGGACACCAACGGCATGTCCCCACTGTGTGCAATCGGGCTCTGGACTGACATCTCTGCCCGCATCCTCAAGCTGCCTTCGTTTGAACTGCTGCACAAAGAGATGCTGGGAGGAGGTAGGACTCTCCCGGGGCTGCTGGCAGCGGTCACTCGCCTGCCTGAGTCATGAGTCACATCAGCGTTTTCTTCTCCTGGCTCCCTGCAGAAATTATCCCTCGCTCCATCCTGATGACGACCTTCGAGAGCAGCCATTACCTTCTCTGCGCCCTGGGGGACGGAGCTCTCTTCTACTTCGGGCTCAGCCTCGAGACTGGTAAGTACAGGGCCTAGCACCGAACGGGCTGCTGGAGAAGGTGGCTGGACTCGTGCCCTCGTGCTTGCTTGACCTGCTTTCGTTCTTCTGGAGATCTCTCTCTTTTTCTTGCTTTTTCACTGTGATGGGGTCGTGCTCAGGTGGGACTGGCTGCTGGGCACTGGGCGTTGGTGGATTTCTCCAGCGGACTCCGGAGAAAGCAGATCGATGCTTACATCCATTCCTTTGCTTCCTGTGCTGACAGCAGGATGCGTTTACCCACCCTCGTTTCTTCCGGAGGTGTTGCAGCCGGGTTGCACTCTGCCGTCCTGCTCTTGCAAGCTCCGTTGTGGCAGCTCCCAACGCCGGCGTTCCTTTTCTGCAGGTTTGCTGAGCGACCGGAAGAAGGTGACCCTTGGGACCCAGCCCACCGTCCTGAGGACTTTCCGCTCTCTGTCCACCACCAATGTGTTTGCCTGCTCTGACCGCCCCACCGTCATCTACAGCAGTAACCACAAACTGGTCTTCTCCAACGTCAACCTGAAGGAGGTGAACTACATGTGTCCCCTTAACTCGGATGGGTACCCCGACAGGTGAGCCTGGACCTCGCCTCGTGTGACGCGAGGTTTTTTTGCTGTGCCACCCACCTTACAAGCGCCGTTTCTCATGGGGGTTTTGGGGTTTTTTGCCCCGTACAGCTTGGCGTTGGCCAATAACAGCACCTTGACCATCGGCACCATTGACGAGATCCAGAAGCTGCACATCCGCACGGTTCCCCTCTATGAATCGCCCAGGTGAGCTGAGCAGTGGGAGGGAGCCTGGCCTGAAGGCACGTGCTCTGCTGCGTGGGGCAGGGCTGGGGGGAGACTTCATAGCCAGCATTCCTGTTGTGGGCGCAATTAGCGTGCAGACTGAATTAGCAAGCGAGCAGCTCTGCCTCTTGTCTCCCAGAGCCTCTGTGCTCTCCTTGGAGTGGCCTATCCTGGTTCTCTTGCCCACGCAGCTCTCTTTGTCCCGCAGGAAGATCTGCTACCAGGAGGTATCACAGTGTTTCGGGGTGCTCTCAAGTCGGATCGAGGTGCAGGATGCCAGTGGGGGCACCACTGCGCTCAGACCCAGCGCCAGCACCCAGGTGAGGGGTAGCTGCTAGATCGTCCCTGAGCTCTGGGCTGTGGGTACCATAGTTCCTCAGGCCAAACCCTGATGCAGGTTTTCCTTGACAAATCTTCTCTTCCAAAGCTCTGAGTGCAAGCTCTCCCTTTGGCAGCCTGGGAGGAGATGGGGTGGTAAGATCTCTCCTCGGCACAATCACTGTTCTGTCAGATCACCTTTGGGTTTGGGTCCTGCACCTTCAGTCTCCCGTACAGGCCTCTGTTTGGTCTCAAGTGGTTTCCTTCTCCCAGAGATGCAGGCACAGGTCCCTTTCGGGCAGTAGCTCTGGTGGACGCCACAACACTGCAGAAACTCTTCTATTAATGCTGTTGCCTAGCAGTGCTCCCTCTGTCCTGCATGTCACATGTCTCTGCTGGTGCAGGGAGTGTGTCCCTTTACTCAGGCCCAGGGAGCTCCTCGCTTCACCTTCTCTCCTGTTCGTTCTTCTGGTCCCTGGTTGCCTTAGCCCGTGTGGGGATGTGCCGAGTAGCACGAGGGTGTGACCGATCTTACTGCGTCCTAGGCTCTGTCCAGCAGCGTGAGCACCAGCAAGCTGTTCTCCAGCAGCACGGCACCGCATGAGACATCCTTCGGAGAAGAGGTGGAGGTGCACAACCTGCTCATCATAGATCAGCACACCTTCGAAGGTACCGGTCCCAAATGCTGCCCATACCCTTAGTCCAATTTGCTCCTCCAAAACAAGCCTATCGGCATGTGGTTGAGACTTGTGATCTTCCCAGACTTGTGAAGATCGGTGTTCTTGCTCGTTTCCTTCAGTCAAAGCGTTTTTCCCAGAGGAGCAGCAGCTGTAGGGCGTAGCTTTAAGGTGTAGTGGGTTTTTGAAGGCACGAGGTGGTGGTGGGGAATAGGGGAGGGGATCTCCAGGCAGTTACCTTGGACGCATCTTAAGTTTTCAGCTGGTCCTAGGCAAGCTGCTCTGCTGACACGTGGAGGTGCGTGGGACCCAGTTGTTTCTGCCTTTCCCTCTCTGCGCAGTGCTTCACGCTCACCAGTTTCTGCAGAACGAGTACGCCCTCAGCCTGGTCTCCTGCAAGCTTGGCAAGGATCCGAACACCTACTTCATCGTGGGCACCGCCATGGTGTATCCCGAGGAGGCAGAGCCCAAACAGGGACGCATTGTCGTCTTCCACTACTCTGACGGTAAGAGCAAAGTCTTCTCGCGTGGCCACATCCAGCTGCTTGAGGGAGATCGGAGGCGAGCTCCTCAGCCCTGAGAGAGCTCACATCCCAGTAGCAAGCCCAGTTTTTCTCGAGTGCCTTGCTGTCAGCTTCCCGCAGACCATCCCACTGAGTTTCCTTTCCCCTCGGCTCCTAGAGAAACCCAAGAATCCCTTGCCAGAACCAGATTCTGGGATTTGCTTTCAGTGCGTCTGCCCCTGCTGTTGTGTCACTCCTGTGTTACTTGCCCACAAATCCTCTGAGAGAGTTTCTAGAGGGAGCGATGTTGTCTGGAGCAGCTCATCTGAACCCCCCGGGCTCGCCAGCCTCGGGAACGCGGGGCAAATAACCGGGTGGTGCATGGGTTTATTCCAGGGAAGCTGCAGAGCCTGGCTGAGAAGGAGGTGAAGGGCGCTGTGTATTCCATGGTGGAGTTCAATGGGAAGCTGTTAGCCAGCATCAACAGCACGGTACGACTCTGGCGAGACGCTGACTTGTTTTGGGAGTGCGTTTCAGAGCTGGAAGCTGCTCCAGCCGTGTGGATGTCAGCCAGGTCCCTGAGCTCTGTTGGGGAGTGTCCCCTGGCTGGCAGGGGTGTCCGTGGTGGCTCAGACCCGTGTCCCTTCCTTCAGGTGCGCCTGTACGAGTGGACAGCTGAGAAAGAGCTGCGCACAGAGTGCAACCATTACAACAACATCATGGCGCTCTACCTGAAGACCAAGGGAGACTTCATCCTTGTGGGAGATCTGATGCGGTCCGTCCTCCTCCTTGCGTACAAGCCTATGGAAGGAAACTTCGAGGAGGTATCAATGCTGTTAAAATAGTCTTGGTCGAAGGCGTGCTGGGAGTCCGTGCTGCCTCTTCCAAAAGGCTCTGGGCAGGGGGAACAGTGTTTAAAAAGGAGAGAAGAGGGGAAAAAAAAGGAGGACCCTGGCAATGAGAGCAGTGTCACCTGGCCATGCTTTTAGATGGATCCCTGTGGTTTTTGGAGGGACAGATCCCCAGGCTTCCAGGGAACTGGGCAATGAGTCAGCAGCCTTGAGAAGAGCAGGCTTTGGGTGCGTGCTTGCCGCCTGCCAGGGTGGGGAGCTGCCATCTGGACTGCCCGTTGTACAGTTGGAATGGCGTGGTGCCACCGTAGCTGTGTCTCTGTCAGCAAACACAGCGTAGCTGGAGGGTGAACCAGGCGCTGAGACAGTCCGTGGACAGGCCATCTGTGCACGCTGCCTCTCTTCTTGTCCCCTTCCAGATTGCCCGGGACTTCAATCCAAACTGGATGAGTGCCGTGGAGATCCTGGACGACGACAACTTCTTGGGAGCAGAGAATGCTTTCAATTTGTTTGTGTGCCAGAAGGACAGGTGAGCTGGCTGCGAGTGGAACGTGGCAGTGTGTGACAGGCAGGATGGGGTGATCGGGCCTTGGGCTCTCCTCCACGTTACAGCTACAGAGGCAGGAAAGCTGGGGGGGGGAGCATGAACAGCGAGGTGGGAGCAGGGGGAGCTTTCGTGTCACCCCAGCACAGACTGAGCAGGGCGCTTTGGCTTTCAGCGCGGCCACGACCGATGAGGAGCGCCAGCATTTGCAGGAGGTGGGACTGTCCCACCTGGGAGAGTTCGTCAATGTTTTCTGTCACGGGTCTCTGGTCATGCAGAACCTGGGTGAGACATCCACGCCAACACAGGGCTCGGTTCTCTTCGGCACAGTCAACGGCATGATCGGTAAGGGTCAGGGTTCCCCACCCTGAGTGGGAGGGTAACAGCTCTGCTTCCCTGCTGCAGAACCTGGGATGGGGTTTCCTTGTGTCTCCGTTCTCTGTTCCCCAGTCAAGTGACACTCCATGCCCTGCTCCCTTCAGCAACCTGCTTTTCTCTCTGCATTGCTTCCAGGAGAGGAAAACACTCTGCCTTTCTTCGCAACTCCTTCCTTCTCCCAGTCCTCCCCGGCACCGGCTTCCAGCACAACTCCAGTCCTGGCAGCCTGCCGGTCCCTGTCTGCCGGGAGCCACTGGGACGTCCTGGCCTGAGCCCTGAACCCTCGTCTCCTTTTTTTACCCTTTGCAGGACTAGTGACCTCACTGTCGGAGAGCTGGTACAACCTCCTGCTGGACATGCAGAACAGGCTGAATAAAGTCATCAAGAGCGTGGGCAAGATTGAGCACTCCTTATATCCTTTCGCGGCGCAGCTGGGAGCCTGGGCTGGTCAATGCTGGCGGCTGGATTGTGAATCTGGCCTGAGCCAGGCGCAGGGTGGGGTGTTGGAGGTTTATCTCTGTTGGGACGCTCCGGTGGGAGTGTACGTCAGCTGGAGAAAGGTGGTAGCGTGTTTGCCAGCTGCCCAGGGCTTTGTGCTCGAAGAGAAGGTGCTTGCGGTAGAGAGGACTATTTTGCAGGGTTCGAGGATGAATCTGGCTTTGGGGTGGCCCTAAAAACCTGGCCCAAACCCTGTCATTCTCCTGATGCAGCCTTGTCAGGCTGCTGTTACTCCGTGTGGATTTGGCTCCTTGACGGTCGCACCTGGAGATCGTTTCACACCGAACGCAAGACAGAACCGGCTACGGGCTTCATTGACGGTGACCTGATCGAAAGCTTCCTGGACATCAGCAGACCCAAGATGCAGGAGGTGGTGGCAAACTTGCAGGTGAGATGGGTGATGTGAGCTTAGACCCTTCCAAATTAGCAGCGGGGCCCCCCAGGTGATGCTCTGGGAGCGTTCTCCACCACCCACTGATGTCTCCGTGCTCCGACACCTTTTTCTCTTCTTGCAGATCGATGACGGCAGCGGCATGAAGAGGGAAGCCACCGTAGACGACCTGATAAAGATCGTGGAGGAGCTGACCCGGATCCATTAGCAGGATTCAGGGTCGTTCCCTAGCGCCTTCCTCCACAAAGAGCAAGGGAATCTTTTCTCCCCGCCTGCAGCTTGGGGACCCCTGGCCCAGCTGCGCTGAACACCAGCGACGCCGGCGGCCTTTGCCCGAGGGGACGTGGGGGAAGGAGTCTCCAAAGGGAAGCCAGCTTGCTAGGGATTTGGGGGGGTGTTTGGTCAGGCACCGTGTCACCGCCTGCTCGGATTCACGAATCCCAGCGGACTTGGCTGCTGACCCAGGACTGAGCTTCGCCGGTCACCCTCGGTGACTGACCGGTAGCGCTCGGCTGATGCGGTGCCCTTGCCTGGATTCACTCTTCACTGTTGTCTTTAGTACCTTTTACTTTTTCTTTTTTTTTTTTTTGTTTTGGTTTTGTTTTTGATTCTTTTTTTTTTTTTCTGATTCCTTGTGGGTTTTTTTGGAAGCGGAAGCTGCCTCTAGGGTGAGGGCGAGGGCTGGAGGAATCATCTGGGGCTGGTGAGCTGTGCGGCGTGGAGGAGGAGGAGGATTTCTCTACATCTGGGCGATGAAGCTGAGCGGGACGACGCGCTCCTCTCCGCAGGATCTGCGGCTCGCTCAGGGAGGGAAGTTCTGGGAAGCTCCATCAGTTGTTGGTTTCTGAGTTTTACCAAATAAAGTAGTCCGAGAGGAAAGGTCTGTCTCCTGGTGCCGAGCTGTCCTCAGC